CATAGACCTGCAGGGTCACCCTGGGGACCTGCAGCCCATCCTTGGTCTGTAGCCCTTGTCCTGGCCCCAAGGGGACCTGGGGGAAGCTGGCCATTGGGTTCCTGCTGGGAGCTGCTCTGCACTCTGCACCCCGGGGAACTGGTACCGAGCACGCTGGCTCTGCCAACCTCAACCAGCACTTTGCTCCAGGCATGTTCTCCTGCACACCTTGAGTTCCTGGCGCGTCTGTTGCGGGCATGCCCTCCCACTGGCACCCTCTGGGTCCACAGGCCTGTGGCTCTCCCTGCTCTTCTCTGAGAAGCTGGAGGACTTTGCGGAAGAAATCTCTCCTCATCATCCCTACGCCCGGGCTGTGGCCCCTGTCACGGGCCCTGAACCCCAAGGTTTCTGATTTGAGACCCTTCAGCCCGTACCCCTCTCCTCAGTGAGCACGTGTGGACGAGGTCACCACAGGTGGTCTGGTCTGCCCTCCCCACCTCCCCTGCCCATGGCGTGGCGTGACAGGGTCCCTGGCTCCTCATGCCTGTGTCTGCACAACCCACACACAAAGGGAGACGTGAGGACTCGCATGGTGGGCTCCTCCACCCCCGGGCTTCTGACTGCTGGGCTCCCTGTGCCAAGTGCGATGCCACGGGCAGACGTCAGCTGTGGCAGCGCGGGTAGCGAGATGAGGCAAGTCTTGGGTTAAAATCAGGCCCCTGAAGCTGCGGTTCTGTTTGTCCGTCTGCTGCTTAGAGTCTGCCAGCTTCTGCTTAGGCTGAAGGCCGGGCTTTTGCGCACAATTACTGCCCCTAAGACCTTCGTCTGTGGGCACTAACAGTCAGTCACACCCACTCACCAGTCTCACTCACGTGGTGTGGGAAGACCAGTGTCCCTCGGGTAATTTGAAACACATTTGAAGTGCAGAACTTGCATTTTTTTTCCTCTCAAGCAAAATGGGGACTCCCGGCCAATCTCACTCGTTTTATTTATAGCGTTTTATTTCCTGAGAGAAGACAGGGAAAGTGAGTCGCTGCCTCCCGCGTCTGGCTCCTCCCGCGCAGGGCGGCGTCAGCGCCCCAGGGGCTGGACCTGGCCTCGGGCTCCAGGTGCCGGAGCGAATGGTGGGATGGGAAGGAGGAACTGGGTCAGGCCTTCGAAGGAATGAATTAAACGTGCTTCCTCCAGCAGCTGATTGACAGCGCGGCCCGGGCGGCAGAGGATATAAGGGGGCGGCAGAGAGGCAGTGTCCAGCAGCGCTGAGCCCAGCACCTCGCCTCCACACTGCACAGCCTCGCGCTGGAACCTGGCTAGCGGCTCTCTCGCCAGCACCACATCTCTTCAGCATTTCAGGTGGGACTTTGAAAACTTTTATTTGCTAAACCGCTTGGTTGCGCTGTGCTGTTCAGAAGAGGCTCTGGGCTCCTGAACGGAGAGAAGCGCCTGTGCACACTGGAGCTCGGGGGACCGGGTGGACGTGGAGGCACCCCTGGCAGCGGCCAGGAGAGCCCACCATATCCACATCCCGTGGGCAGGGGCCCACCGTCCTCCTCTGGGCGCCTGCCTGGCTGGGGGGTCGCGCCGCTGTGGATGTGTCTGCAGGGGGCCTGGCAAGGGCTGTGCTGGCAGCTCTCACATCGCTTCCCAGAAGCTTGCTGACCAGCACTTGGATGCAGGGCTGGGGAACTGTGGCTGGGAATGTTGGGGAAGCTTGAGCCTAATCCCAAACAGTGAAAGAACCTGCAAAGTGTATCCGAAGCTGCCAGTGTGAGCAAGTGCTGGCATTGTCAGGGAACCTACTTGTTCCCAAGGAGAGTGGGGCGATCTGCATGTGTGCGGAAACTGGCCTTTGGGCTGAGTGCCCCTGGGGGAGGCCCCAGGCACTGCCAGTGTTCACCCAAGGGTCCCAACCTTACTCTGCTGTGCACACTCAGAGGACCGTGGGAAGTACGGACCGCCCCCCACCCCCAGGCGCACAGCAGGAGCCTGTGGGAGTTTGTAGCAGAGTTCACGGTTAAGGGGCACCCAGCAGGTGGCTCCCCGTGCTGAGGGCTAGGCAGCCTGTGGGCCGATGGGAGGAGCCCATTTGGTGAGCACCCAGCACAGGATCCCTGCAGCCATGCAGCGGCCCATCTGTCCCAGGGTGGCTGATGTCTGGGGCTGTGAACTCCCTTGAGACAAGACGCAGCTTCCCTGTCAGAGCCACGTCCAGGGGGAGGATGTGCTGCCAGAAGGACCTGCTGGGTCGGGGTGAAGATGCAGGAGGAGCCCATGCGTGGTGACCCTGGGCTGATCACGGTGCAGGTGCCGGCTCCTGCGGCCGAGTCCTCTGCTAGTGTCCCCGTGTCCAGATGCACGCTGTGCAGATGTACACAGCCTGCCCCCACTCTCCCTTGCTGCTGCACTCGTGTGTCTCTCGTTTCTCAGGGGTCCAGTGAGGGGGGCGGCTGAGAAGACTACAGACGAGGAAACCACGACAGGGCAGTTCGACTGGGGCGGGCGCTCATCCCGCTGAGTGCTGCCTGCTGCCTTGTCGTCAGGGAAGCCAGGGGGACGGGAGCTGGTGGGCAGCATGGTGGGCAGGGCTCCGGCTGCCTGAGGAAGGCCCAGGGTCTGCCTGGCCTCCCCTACTCCCCGGAAAGTGGCTGTCCTGCTCCAACATGGGAGGAGTAGGCGTCTTGGTCTTGACTCCCACTGAGAGCCGTAGCAGTAACCATGGGAGCCGTGGGGCGGTGAGGACCGAGGCCATAGGGTTCCCAGCATCCACGAGGTGGTTAATCATGGGGCTGGGCTTCCATCCAGGCCTCTGAGCCAACGTCAATCCCGCGGAGGAAGAAGCAGGCCAGCAGCAGGGACAAAGGCAGGAATAGCCAGGAGCGGGTATGTGCGAGTGCCGCCGGCCGCCTGCGTGCTTGGTTCACTCCTGCACAGCTCTCAGCCCTGTTGGCTTTTTCTCGGGTGTTTGTAGGACCTGCCCACTCAGGGCATTTACTGCACTCTAGCTTCCCGCGTCCAAGTCTCGGGCTCTCGGCCCTTGGCAGATTACTGTGTCCAAGCACGTGCCTTTGTCTCACCCCGCTCGCCCCGTCTCCAAGAATCTGCAGACGGGGTGCACTAAGGATCAAGTTCCCTCCTAGTACATTCCACAGTGTGAACGTTTGCAGTGTGGCTACTGCAGTGGGCCGATGGGAGGCGCCCGTCTGGTGACGGGTATGCCAGCCTGCCACACACGGATATGCCAGCCTGCCACACACGGGTCTGCCAGCCTGCCACACACGGGTCTGCCAGCCTGCCACACACGGGTATGCCAGCCTGCCACACATGGGTATGCCAGCCTGACACACACGGGTCTGCCAGCCTGCCACACACGGGTCTGCCAGCCTGACACACACGGGTATGCCAGCCTGACACACACGGGTATGCCAGCCTGCCACACACGGGTATGCCAGCCTGCCACACACTGGTATGCCAGCCTGATATACACTAGTTGTAGGTAGAAGAATTCCGTGTGAGAAGCAACGTCCCTCGCTGGCTTGCAGCTTTGTTTCCGATCTTTGTGTTCAGGTGGGTAAAGACCCTGATGCTCGCTGTCACTAACAGAGGTCTGTTCGTTCCCAGGAGCCACAGCTGAGGAGGCAGCATGCTCTGGGGGCTGGCCCTGCTGGCTCTGTGGGCATGGCAGGGTGCACAGGACATCCAAGGTGAGTGTTCAGGACCTGACTCAACTGCAGGGGGCAGGGCCAAGGCCCGGGTGACACAAGGCAGTGCCAACCTGCTGTAAGGATGTAGATAGGTAACAAATGGATAGGTAATGGACAGGTAGTTGTAGATGAGGGAAAGCTTGATAGGTGGCATTTGGAGAGATAGTCATAGATAGATGGAGACAGATAAGTAAATAAATGAGTGATGGATGGATAAATGATAAATGACAGATGGGTGGGTGATGGATGATAAATAGGGGATAGATAAGTGGATGAAAGATGAACGTACATGGATATCACAGATGACAGATGACGTGAGAGGTTTTATTGGCCATGAAGTGATGCCCTTTGAAGAATCGGGGTCCACTGTGGGCACAATCTCCATGGGCATAGTTACGCCTCCCACTCCCCATGGTGCTCACAGAGCCCAGGATTTGCTGTAGCATTTGTGCCTTCTGCTTCCTTCCACTTACCCTGTCCTGTGTGTGAGCTCTCCCACCACATCCTTGTGCTCCTGTGGGAGGGAATCCCATTGGGTTGCCACTTTGCTTTTATGAGTGGGAGGAAATGGGCTGCCCTTTCCCTACTCCAACCCTACCCAAACCCCACACTGCCCCAAGCCTAGCCCTAACCTTACCCCAACCCTACCCTACCCTTAACCGTACCGTTAACTCTAACCCTACCCAAACCCGACCCTATCCCTAACCCTACTGCTAATCCTAACCCTAAACCTACACCTACCCCTAACTCTAACCCTTACCCTAATCCCAACCCTCCCCTAAACCTAATCCTAACATCTAACCTTACCCCAAACCCTAACTCAACCCCTAACCCTACTGCTAACCCTGACCCTAATCTTAACTCTAACACCTAACCTTACCCCAAACCCTAACTCAATCCCTAATGCTACTGCTAACCCTAACCTTAACCCTAATATAACCAACACTTTGTGAAAGCAATGTGTATGACCACAACCCTTGGCAAGTTACCAACATGGACACGTTGAATCATTCAAAATTTTGACCAATAACCAGCCACATGGACTTTCTGCCATCCATTGGCCCAGCCACACAAGGACCGTCCAGGAGAGTGGGTGTGGGTGTGGGGAGTCTGGCCTGGCCGTGGCCTTGGTAACACCCCTCCCTGCTCTGGACAGCCGTGGACCCTGATGACGATGCACCCTTTGACCTCTTCCGCATCAGCAACATCAACCGCAAGACCATTGGGGCCAAGCAGTTCCGTGGCCCTGACCCCAGTACACCTGCCTACCGCTTCGTACGGTTCGACTACCTGCCGCCCGTGAATGCTGCTGACCTGGGCCGCATCACCAGCCTCATGCGACAGAGGGATGGCTTCTTCCTGACTGCCCAGCTCAAGCAGGACCGCAAGTCCCGCGGCACGCTGCTGGCGCTCGAGGGCCCTGGCGCTGCGCAGCGCCAGTTTGAGCTGGTCTCCAATGGCCCGGCAGACACGCTGGACCTCACCTACTGGACGGATGGCGGCCAGCACGTGCTGTCCCTGGAGGACGTGGGCCTGGCCGACTCGCAGTGGAAGAACATCACCGTGCAGGTGGCTGGCGAGACCTTCGGCCTGTATGTGGGCTGTGACCTCGTTGACAGCCTTGCACTGGATGAGCCCTTCTATGAGCAGCTGACAGCCGATCGGAGCCGCTTGTACGTGGCCAAGGGTGCTGCACGTGACAGCCACTTCAGGGTGAGTAGGGGGCAGGGATCATGTCAGAAGCACACAGACTGGCCTCTGAGCACACCTCCTGACAAGTTAGCTGTCTCAGTGCTGGGATCTGGCTTGTAACACACACATGTACAGCACACACATGTGCAGTACGCACATGAACAGCCACACAAGTGCACAGATTCTACAGCACACAGATTATGTGTTCATCATGTATATGCACATATAAGCACATGTGTTTATACCATATGCCTTATAGCACACCACAAGCTCATACGCAAGTGCACACACAACACCACACATGCAGAATTGCACATTCACATGCAAATGTACAAAGACCACCATGTGTATGGGCACCAGATGAACTCGGATGATCACCAGACACAGATACACCTAGACACACTACAAATACACATGTGTTCACCTGCACACATGCCCATACACACAGACACACAGTTCAGACTCACACACACACACACACCTCAGCACCCAGCTAGGACTAACAGAGTGAGCCATCATGGGCATGCTCTGTCGTGAGCAGCAGCCACTGACTGGAAGTGAAGCCCTTCTGTGAGCAGGGTGCCCTCCTTGTAAGTATTTCTGGCCATGTAGACACCTCATCAAAAAATTAATTGATTTGTAAAGATGTATTGCCTTATTTGATGGTTAGAGTGAGTGAGAGAGAGAGAAATTTTCCATTTGCTACAGTGGCTAGTGCTGAGCCAGGTTGAAGTAAGGAGCCAGGAGATTCATCCGGGTCTCCTACGTGAGTGTAGGCACCTAAGCACTTAGGCCGCCCTCAGCTACCTTTCCAGGTCCTCAGGGTGCTGGCATTGCAGGTGACAACTTGACCTGCCGGGCCACAATGCCTGTCCTCTTACTTTTTTGTGGCTGTGCCCTTTCACGAATCCTGTGCTTTCAGTATGAGAAGAGGCAAACAAATGCTGACCTTCCGAAGGAAAGAGCTTTCTCAGGAAGACATGATTATTTGCAGGAAAGTGTGAGAGAGAGATCTGTCCCCCACTAACAGGGTTCACTCTGCAGACGACAGTGGTGCCTAGACTGGGCCGAGCACAGTCCGTGGTCCAGGATTTCCTTCCTGGTCTCCCAAGGGCCGAGTGCTCAGGCCGTGGCCTCCTGCCTCTACAGGCACATTATCAGGGCTCTGGAGTGAAGGCAGAGCAGCTTGGATCAGAATCAGCGCTTGGATACCAGTGGTGCAAGTGGTGACTTAACCCACCATGCCTCAGTCCTGGCCTAAGGGAGAGCTGCAGCTCAGGAGAGAGCGGGCTCCTGTCCATCTGAGTTATACTCTAGAATCTGTCTTCTGATCCAGACGCTGCCTGACAGTGGCTGAGGTTGCGGTTTTCCCACTTCGTGATGGTGTAGAAGCATTCAGACTTGGCTGTTTTCCCAGATGGGTGCTTGGGTCTCTGGCCCTCTAGGTGCAGGGGATAGCAGTGAGCACACCCACAGGGCAGTCCTATAACCACTCTGCAGTGGCGCTGTGGCTGCAGAGTGCACAGCTGTGAGTGGTTCCTGTGGTCACTGCAGTGGCTGTGTGTTACAGAGAGCACAGCTGTGAGTGGTTCCTGTGGTCTCTGCAGTGGCCCTGTGGCTGCAGTGAGCACAGCTGTGAGTGGTTCCTGTGGTCTCTGCAGTGGCCCTGTGGCTGCAGTGAGCACAGCTGTGAGTCGTTCCTGTGGTCACTGCAGTGGCTGTGTGTTGCAGTTGTGTTTGGGAGTGTGGGGGGAGTATTTTCAACTGACTGGTATTCTTAGCCTGAAGTAGCTTCCCCATTCTCTTCCAAAGGCATGATTTGTCATGCAAAATTACATAATTACATTTTGTTATTTGCATAGAAAGGCTAGAGATGCATGATGGGTCATTGAATTAATTTATACTTTGATTTTAAGAAATCATAGGCTGGTTTATTTTGGAATATTTTTATTAAGTACAGGAAATGCAGGTAATCCACATGTCAAATGGTGACTACTTATCCACACATGTTACTCACACTCATACATGTTACATACATACACACCCACAGCACACGTTGCAAAGTGCACATTCACACATATGCATGAAACACATCCACATATCACATATATGATTCACACATGTAGCTCACAATGAATGCTATGCACACACAATCCCTACACACTGGCTTACACATGTGATCCACAGTGTGCCACATACATGCACAATACATGCCGCATGTATGTAACCAGCACACATCACAGCAAATCAACATATACATGTTACAAGCCCATACATGCCATGCAATGCAGCTCTCATATACCTCACACATTCACATGTGTGTTGTGCATGGACATGTTATCACATGTATGTTGCACACACATTCAGACATGCATGTTTAAGGCTTGCATCTACACATGCATGTTGACACCTGTATGTTGCATACATTTGCACATTAATGTCATGTAATTCACAATACATGCTATACACATACTATTCACACATGGGGCACACATGTGTTCACACATGTGTAGCATGCACTGGGATGTTCATATATGCGACACACATGTATGTTGCCACACACATGTTCTACAAATGCATGTTCTACACATGTGTTACAAACACATGGTTCACACATGTGGCTGCACATGCATGGTGTACAATGCATTCTCATATGCTTGTGCTCATGCATATTCACATGTTATGCACTATCGGGATCCCTCGTCCCGCGAGCAAGACCCCGATATGGTAAAGACTCTTTAAAAAGTTTATTGGGTATGACTTCAAGGGTTGTGGCAAAGTGAAAGCAGTTACAGCACTTGTAAGATTTACTACAGTAAAGCAAAAGCAGCCTAGTGCTAGCTAGCAATAGCCTTGAAGTGATAGCATAGCTCTAGCAGCGCACCCGGTGGAATCTTCTTTAACTATTTTTCACCCAGACCTTTTTACATTACACAAACCAATCCATACACAGTTCCTCACATCATGTGGTAAGCACACCAATCATGACTAGGTCACGTAGCTTCCCTGCGTGCTCGGCCCAATCCTCAGTAACTTCCCAAAACCTGTTTACCACCTTTGTGCCACGAAGCAATGGTCAACAAGTGCCATCTTTGAGGCGCGGCTCCGCTCTCCACAATCCACATGCAATTAGCATATGTACATTACACTCACATATGTTATAAGATGCATTCATACATGCATGTTAACACGAGACCCGTGTCATTCAGTGAGCAGCTCGGCCCGCCTCTGCCGTGAAGATTCACTTCCTGACTCACTCGGCTGTTCTGCTGGTAACCTTCCTACGTTAAACTCCCAGTTCATGGGCCAGGCCCGAACGTGAGGCCTGGAGACCCTGCTGCATCGAAGGAAATGTGCTCAGCACCCAGAAGAGTCCGTCTCATGTCATTAAGCTTACCACCAAATGTGTGACATCTGCCTGTTGTCTTATATCCTTGTTTGTACCCACAGGGTTTGCTTCAGAACATACACTTAGCCTTTGAAAATTCAGTGGAAGACATTCTAAGCAAGAAAGGTTGTCAACAAAACCAGGGAGGTAGGTATTCCATTTCCTGTCCTGGACCGGTGTCTACTGTGACGTGTGTGTGTGTGTGTGTGTGTGTGTAGACATGCCTGCATGGAGCATGCGTGTGTGTGTCTACCAGTGGGGATGTGATTAGGGGAGAGCATGAGAGCATGGGGCATGCCTGTGTGTGTGCGTCCCAGTGAGGGTATGTACGTGTGTTGGGAGAGAGCATGCCCTCACCCACCCAAGATGGGCACTGAACTCCCTGGGTATTAGTCACCACATGGGCCACCCCAGCCCTCACCGTCCTCACCATTGTCCCCTCCAGCTGAAATCAATGCCATCAGTGAACACACAGAGACACTGCACCTGAGCCCTCACGTCACTGCGGCCCACGCGGGTCAGAGTCTGCAGCCGAGACCAGAGGTGTGCGAACATTCCTGTGCTGAGCTGAGCAGCATGATGAATGAGCTTTCCAGGCTGCACCTGCTTGTGGGCCAGCTCAGCGACAACCTCAAGAGAGTGGTAGGTGTCAGAGGGCCAGGTTGGCCTCGTGTCCACAGGCCACGGGCCGGGGCCTTCAGAGGCCTGCGTCGTCCTGGGAATATGCAGCCTCTGGTTAAATTCCACTGGCAACAGGCAGAATTGGGGGCAGGCTCCTTGGGACTCTGCCTGGAGGCTGGAGAGACAGCTGGGTTCACAGGGCATCCCTGGCACACTGCAGGTCATGCCCAGGGAGCTGCTTGGGTGAGGCCAGCAGCACAGAGGGTTGTGAATCCTGCTGTGGTGCCCGCAGGCCTCAGCTGATGCTTGCCCAGATGGGAGGAGTGCTTGGTCTCCTTCCCTGTGGGGGCAGAGGGTGGGAGCCCAGGAGCCGGTCCCCTACGGCGCTGTGCCTGGAGAGCCCACAGATGGAAAGCAGAGACCAGGTCCCTGACTTCCTGTAGAGCACCCAGGCTGGGGGAGGAGTCTCCAGAAGCAGGGTATGTGATGGGGGCCCTTGGGTGAGCTTTGCTCAGAGCAGACTCGCCCTGCGAAACTGCTGGGGGCTGTCTCGCCAGCAGACCACCCCTGGTGCCCTCTACGTCAGGAGGGCAAAGCCTCTGCTGCAAGGCCTGGAGACAGCTCCACGGGGTCTGGCAGTGCTGCCCCTCAGTGAATCCTGCTGCAAGGACCAGGCCACACAGCACAGGAAGTGGGCCAGGGTCAGCATGGCTGGGTGTACAGGAGCGGGTCTTACTGCCCATTAGGTGCCTAAGGGACCTCACTGGCAGTGGCCTGTAGGAAAAGGCGCACACCCGGACGAGGAAGGCCACACACACACATTGTACTCAGCCACGTCACATACACACACACACACACGTGTGCTCGGCCATGTGACAGGCACACCATACACTGTGCTCGGCCATCTCTCTCTCTCACACACACACACTGTGCTCGGCCATGTCTCTCACACACACACACACGTGTGCTTGGCCATCTCTCTCTCACACACACACACACTGTGCTCGGCCATGTCTCTCACACACACACACTGTGCTCGGCCATGTCTCTCACACACACACACATATGTGCTTGGCCATGTGACAGGCACACCATACACTGTGCTTGGCCATCTCTCTCTCACACACACACACACTGTGCTCGGCCATGTCTCTCACACACACACACACTGTGCTCGGCCATGTCTCTCACACACACGTGTGCTCAGCCATGTCTCACACATGTGCAGATGTGTGGCACACTTCTCCAGCCTACAGTCCTGAGACAATAAGAATCCTGCCTGTTACTTCCTCTGCTGCCCACGTGACAGCCCTCAGTCAGGGGAGCACTACTGCCCCCGCCCTGAGTGATGGCCACATGCTGGGTCCTTCTTGCACGTCACGGGGCTCCCTTCATTTTTCAGTCCAACGACAATGAGTTCCTGCTGGAGCTTATCGGGGTTCCCCCCAAGACAAGGAACGTGTCGGGGTGCTGGCAGGAAGACCGCTTGTTTGCAGAGAACGAGACCTGGGTGGTGGACAGCTGCACCAGCTGCACCTGCAAGGTGAGGCAGGGACCTGTGCCCAGTGTGCAGGGTCTGTGGGCGGCCAGGAACCTCAGGGCTGGGGCTGGAGGTGACAGGTGCAGTGATGGGGCGCTCTGCATGGGGGTCAGAAGCAGCTGGGCTGAGCAGGGCAGGGGTTGCTCAGGGCTGGACCTCATTCCCCCGAGGAGCCTTGAGGACCAGCAGGAGTGCTCACTGTCCAGGATCACAGAGATGGCCGTGCACCCCCCTTGCTGGATGGGACACGGTGTCTGCCAGCCACAGCCAAGGGCACCGGACGTGGGGCAGCCACTCAGATGGTTCCTGCTCTCCAGCCTCGGTGCTTTCCTGGCTCAGCTAGGGACCAAGAAACCTAGAGCACAGGGGACCTTGGAGCCCTGTTCTGTTCCACTCTGAGACTAATGGGAGCAGTGCTGTTAGCCACCCACCTCTGTGGCTTCAGCTACCCAGCTGCCCCTGCCCTGAGCGCGTACTTCTCTTCCCTTGCCTGCCTCCCTTCCACGACTGGATGCCACCTGGGTGCTTTCTTTACCTGCAGAAATTTAAAACCATTTGCCACCAAATCACCTGTCCTCCTGTGACGTGTGCCAATCCATCCTTGGTGGAAGGCGAGTGTTGTCCTTCCTGCTCCCACGGTGAGTGCTGCCCACCGGACAGCTGCCCTGGGCCCATTGTGGCTTTGCTGGAGACACAAGAGGCTCAGACTGGGGAGGAGCGGTGCTTAGCTGCCACGGGGTCTCAGAAGAGAAGCCAGGCCAGTGGTCACCTGTGGGTGTGGAGAAGCAGGGTTTGGCCCAGCGTGAGGCCCTGGGAGAGCCTTGGCCATGGGTCAGAGCACAGCAAGGCCTGAGTCCGGGCAGTCGAGGAAGGTCCTGGTGGGAGCACGCCTTGTACCACGTGAACAAGAAGGTAGACATGGAGCAGTGGAATGCACTGCTGGTGGCAGGAGCTGAGTCTTGGGGGCTGTGACCACGTCCCCAGGGCCCTGCACATTGCAGGGTGCAACAGCTGCCTGGTCCTCTCGCTCAACTCCCTTTGGCGTTTCAGTCCCCCTCCACTGCCACAGCAAGCTCTGTCTCCTTAACCAAGCCTCCCCCCTCAGCTGGGTCCCCATGGAGCTGGACCTGGAGGGGCTGAGAGCACCTGCCTTCTGTCTGTGGCCACAGGGCTGGCTCTCAACCCCTAGAGCCTGCCTTAGGGTATGGACACAGAATGGGTTTAAAAGGAGCACAGGCCCTGGGGTTCTTGCTCTGAATCTCAGACTGAGCATCTGTAACATAGAAAGTGGCTCACACAGGGTCTCGATGAAGTACAGTGGTGCCCTCCTGGTGGCTCTGCCTGGCAGATGCACTCAGGCCAGCTCTTGTGCCCAGCACAGGGACAGCAACACAGGTGGAACTATGGACTTAAAGGAAAGTTGGTTCTGGTGCAGCAAAGTTGGTTCTGGCGCAGCAAAGTTGTCAAGTTCACACAAGGTTTTCTCTTGTGATGGATTTTCCCTCAAGTTTTGAAGGCCACAGGTGTGACAGCTCAAGGGGGCTGCAGGCAGAGAGGCCGGGGAACACTGAGTCGCCCGCTGGGTCCAAGGCCACCACGACGGCCTCCTTCCTCCCAGAGGGCACCTCAGGGTCCTGCCCTGCAGCCTCGGGGTGCACATGGGCAGGGAGTGATGGGGCTGTTTCTGATGCTACTGTGTGTGCTTCCTCTGCCAGCAGCAGACAGCGAGGAGGGCTGGTCTCCATGGGCAGACTGGACTGAGTGCTCGGTCACCTGTGGTTCTGGCACCCAGCAGCGGGGTCGCTCCTGCGACGTCACCAGTAACACCTGCCTGGGGCCGTCCATCCAGACGAGAACCTGCAGCCTGAGCAAATGCGACTCCCGTGGTGAGTACTGGCGCCTGTGGTCCTGTGCCTGTGAGTGCCATGTGTGATGTCTGGCCCGCGTGTGCCCATGTGTACTGTTCAACTCCTGTGGTGAGTGCCAACGGTTCCAGTCCTCATGCCGGGCCTGTGTGTGTGACTGTATGTGCAAGTGTGCCCATGCCTGGCTTGTGTGTGCATGTGTCATGTGAACTGTGTGACTCCTGTGGTAAGTGCCCATGGTCCCCTGCCTGGCCAGTGTGTGCCCATGTGCCTGTGTATACTTCTACAACACCCATGGTGAGTGCCAGTGGTCCTGGTCCCCCTGCCTGTGTATGTACACCCCTGTACCTGTGTGTTTGCCTCTGAGTGTCCCTGTGTGCCCCTTGCATGTATGTACATGCATGTATTTGTGCATATGCTCTTGTATGTGCCCCTGTATGCATGTGGGTGTTTAGGGGTGTATGCCCATGTGCAACATGTGCCCATGTATGTGCATCTACCTGTGTGTGCCTGTGAGTGGGGGTACCTCCATGTACCTGTGTGCACATGTATACATGTGTGTGCCCCATATGTCTGAGTGTGTGCGCTGTGATGTTCCTGTGTATGTGGTCCTGTGTGTGCACATGTGTGAGCTCAGCTGTGTGTACAGGTGTGTGCCCCATATGTCTGAGTGTGTGCTCTGCAATGTTCCTGTGTATGTGGTCCTGTGTGTGCACATGTGTGAGCTCAGCTGTGTGTACAGGCGTGTGCCCCATATGTCTGGATGTGTGCTCTGCGATGTTCCTGTGTGTGCGCGCATACATGTGTGAGCTCAGGTGTACGTGTGTGTGCCCATGCATATGCACCTCTTTGGGTGGCTGTGTGCATGTGGGGGTGGCCAGCACTGCTGTCCAGCAGGTTGCTGGGGAGACCACATCCCTGTGCAGGGGTATGCGTGCCCTCCCCCTGGCAGGGCCCCCACACTCACTCCGGCCTCTGCTGCCAGTGCGGCAGGATGGCGGCTGGAGCCACTGGTCACCCTGGTCTTCCTGCTCCGTGACCTGCGGGGTCGGCAACCTCACACGCATCCGCCTCTGCAACTCCCCGGTGCCTCAGCTGGGCGGCAAGTCCTGCAAAGGGGGCGGCCGGGAGACCAAGGCCTGCCAGGGCGCACCGTGCCCAAGTGAGTGGGGGACCCCTGGGGCGGGCAGTGGGGCTTGGTCAGACTCCTGAGGGGGCAACATTCAGGGGGCAGTGCACTGGGCCCTTCCCTTGACCGTGTCCATCCACTCTCACAATGAAGGCCTCAGGGGATTAGAGATCCTGTGGCTGCACAGAGTTGCCCAAGTGCCGTCGCGCGCATCACACCTGGCTCTGTTCCCGAGCATCTCAGTGGCTGGCCAGAGGGCCACGGGGACAAAACCCACCCTTCGTGCCTCTGGGTGTCTGCGAGCGAGCCAGCCCGGGCCTCTGCTGAGCAATCCGCTGCTCTCCTGCAGTCGATGGCCGCTGGAGCCCCTGGTCCCTGTGGTCTGCCTGCACGGTTACCTGTGGCGGGGGCATCCGTGAACGCGCACGCGTCTGCAACAGCCCAGAGCCCCAGCACGGTGGGAAGAACTGCGTGGGCGATGTGCGGGAGCAGCAGATGTGCAACAAGAGGAGCTGCCCTGTAGGTGGGTACCCGGGGACGCGCCCTGTGGGGAAGTGCCCGCACGTGGGCGGGGGCACACTCTGGGAAGGGGGGGCTTCCCTTCTGTTGCAGGGGTTTCTGGAAAGCATGGGCAATGTTACGAGGGGGGAATCCTGTGTGCTCTGCCGGGAGTGGTTGTGCTGTGTCCCTCCATCGCCTGCGGCCACTGTGAGTGGCCAAGAGCGGCCGGGGCTTCAGGCCCGCACACTGCAGTGCCTCCTGGGTGCCCTGTGGCCTCAGGACTATGGGCAGACACGGCCAGCTCACCTGGTCTGCCCTGCTCCGCAGATGGCTGCCTATCCAATCCCTGCTTCCCTGGAGCTGAGTGCAACAGCTTCCCCGACGGCTCCTGGTCTTGCAGCGGCTGCCCTGTGGGCTTCCTGGGCAACGGCACCCACTGTGAGGACCTGGATGAGGTGCGTGTGCCCCGACACCTGGTACCCGGAACGGGGCTGCGCTGGGACCCACACAGCAATGCTCATATCCTTCTGCTTGCCTTGCAGTGCGCTGTGGTCATGGACATCTGCTTCTCCACCAACAAGGCGGCTCGCTGTGTCAACACCCAGCCTGGCTTCCACTGCCTGCCCTGCCCGCCTCGCTACAAGGGGACCCAGCCTTTTGGGGTGGGCCTGGAGGCCGCCAGGGCTGAGAAGCAGGTAGCACCACCCCCACCTCTTTGTCTTAGAGACTTTTAAAAGCTAGGTTTGCCAGGGTGGAGGGTAGGGGCGTGGAGCCAGGAACCGGGGACCTGGAGGCCACTGCCTGCCTCTGGCCAGCCCAGAGTGCAGGAGCTGGGGAGGGCCCTGCTGCACACCAGTGAGGGCAGTGGCTGATCTCTGCTGTCAGTCCCCGGGCTGGAAGGCAGAGGAGGCTCCCAGCCTGGCCCTCTGCCTGTTGAGCAGAGGCTTCACCCTCCCTGGAGGACGGGGGCTAGTTAGTGCAGGACACCGCTTCATGAGTCGTGGGTAGACACACAGATGAGGTTGCATGACTCATGAAGCTTGGAAAAGTGCCCCAAGAAGCTTCCAGAAATGGCAGAGTCCCCTTTCTTGCCCCTTGCCTGTGGCTGCCATCACCTCCCCACCCCCTCTGGGGATGGGACCCCATGCAGACTCGTGGCTACCGCGGGTCTACCCTCAGCTCTCTCTCTAACCACATGTTGGGGACCATGTGGCCCTTTGCCCCCAGGTGTGTGAGCCAGAAAACCCATGCAAGGACAGGACTCACAGTTGCCACAAGCATGCCGAGTGCATCTACTTGGGCCACTTCAGCGACCCCATGTACAAGTGTGAGTGCCAGACTGGCTATGCTGGCGACGGGTTCATCTGTGGGGAGGACTCGGACCTGGACGGCTGGCCCAATAGCAACCTGGTGTGTGCCACCAACGCCAGCTACCACTGCCTCAAGGTGAGGACGCTGCAAGCTTCAACAGCTTCCTTGGTCCCAGCACCTAAGCACCTCCTGGCCAAGCTTCATGCTGCTGCCTTCTGTTGAGGACAAGTGTCTGACATGTGTGCTCAGCCTCACACACATCCACTTCCTGTTGAGGTGTTTCAGACAGATGTGGCTCAGCCCTGGACTGGCATGATGCTGCCTGCCTCACGTGGAGAAGGGGCTCTTAGAGTACCTCCTGCTGTCATAGTGACCTCCATCTTGTCCCGCAGGATAATTGCCCACACCTGCCCAACTCGGGGCAGGAGGACTTTGACAAGGATGGAGTGGGCGATGCCTGTGATGATGACGACGACAATGATGGTGTGAACGACGAGAAGGTGGGTGAGGCCGGGAAGCTGTGCTGTGTGCGGGGAGCACGGGACTGGGTCCACGCACTGCTCAAGGAGGTGGGTTAGCCAGAGCCCAGGGCTGCTGGGGCTGTGTGCATTCAGTGATGCCATTCTCCAGCAATCCTTGCCTGCCATGGCGAGGATTGACACTGCTGCGTGGTGACACTGCTGGCTCCGTGGGCGACGTCCCTGCCTTGCAGCCACTGAAGCACAGGTGTGATAGGGTGGGAAGGACTTGCAGAGCTCCCAGAAGTGGCTCTGTCTTTTCCACACCCGGTGGCTAGCTCACTGATGGATCCATCTTTGCGTGGGTGTGCCTGGGTGTCCAACCTATTTTGCGGAAAACTCCATAATTTAAGAGGTCAGATGCAGGGTGGTGAGCGAACATTCCGACCTAGAGTGGGCCAGCCAGGACTAGATTTTTTGGTCTGGAGTATGTAGGTTGGCCTGCTTGTAGCCCTGTGAGTGCTGTGCTGCGCCCTCAGCAACCTGCCAGGTCTTCCTGAGACTCTGTCTCATCCCGTCTCTAGGACAACTGCCAACTCCTCTTCAACCCGCGCCAGTTTGACTATGACAAGGACGAGGTCGGGGACCGCTGTGACAACTGCCCATATGTGCACAACCCAGCACAGATCGACACGGATAACAACGGCGAGGGAGACGCCTGCTCCGTGGACATCGACGGGGATGGTTAGTGGTGCTCCACAGACCCTGGTGTGGCCTCAAGCTCTCCTGAGTGCATGTGTGTCTGCCGAGGGTGTGAAAGACACCTGAGCCTTCCCCACGCACTGTCCCTGCCTTTCCCAGGAGCCTCCTCTCCCCTTCTCCCATCCCTGTGGTCACAGACTTTTATGTCCTCCTGGTATCCTCCATGCTGTGTGCGTTCCACCCAGCAGTGCAAGGAATGTGGCCTCTCTCTTCAGGAGGCCACGTGTCTGAGAGAGGGCTGGCGGTGTCCTTCTGCCTCTGGTGGGACGTCCACTCCCTTGCCCCTCTCACAGGGCCCCGGGCTGTCAGACAGGCAGTCGGTCCTCGGCGTTCCCATCAGTGCGTGGCATGCCTGCTGGTTTGCCCTCGCCATGGACCAGCACTTCTGGGGGTTCCTGAGTGGGCTGATGCTCCCCTGCCGTGTGGCCTGGCCTCCAGGTGCAGTGCTGGCCTCTGTGGTTGTGGACTGCACTGAATGCTCAGCTGAGCTGGGGTCTGTGTTGTCACTCCGGCATTGGCAGGGTTAGTGCTTCTCAAATGGCTTAAAATTAAGTTGTTGGATCTAAAACCCTTCAATCTCCTGCCTTCCCATCTCCTTCCTGCTGTCGTGGGCATCCAGGACACCCTGCTGAGAGCTCAGTGTGTTCTCAGGTAGATATTGGGGGGATTGGCATAGCCAGCAGACCCTCCCCCCAACCCCCCGAGCATCAGGGCACCACGTGCGTCGATCTGCCCATCACCCTGAAATCCCAGCCTTCAGTTCTACTTTAAAACAAGAAAATTCTGTTTTTAAAGCTCCACTTGCTTGTGTTAAAAGACAGAACTAAAGAGAGAGCGAGAGAGACAGCACCTTCCATCTTGGTTGGTCTTGTTGGTCTCCTCACATGCTGGGCCAGGCTGTAGCCAGGAGCTAGGGTGCAGCTGGGTCTCCCTGGGGGTGCAGGGGCTCGTAAGGGAGCTGGAGCTGAAGCAGAGCAGCCGGGGCTGATCCTGATGCCGCTCTGTGGATGCCCGCCTTGGCCTAAGCCCTGGCACCGCTCTGTGGATGCCCGCCTTGGCCTCAACCCTGGTGCCACTCTGTGGATGCCCACCTTGGCCTCGACTCAGCCCTAGGAAGATACCATATTCAACTATGAATCTGGCCATCCTTGTAGTGCCCTGGCAGGATTCTTGGGTTTGCAGTTACCATTAGGGGCAGATTTGCTGTCAACTGTGTAGACTGGCCATGTCGCCAGCTCTCATGTCTTTTCTTCCTTTGCACACTCTCAGATGTCTTTAACGAGCGAGACAACTGTCCGTACGTCTACAACACTGACCAGAGGGACACCGATGGTGACGGTGTGGGAGACCACTGTGACAACTGCCCGCTGATGCACAACCCTGAACAGGTACCGCGGGCGGTGCACCAGGCCCCTGGTGAGACATAGCACTGGCTTCCGGAGTGTTCTCTGCACTCTGTCAGGACGTAGCAATCAGAGCTCCCAGGACTCAACTGGGAGCGTTCACAGACTCCAGGTTGAGCGTGATTCATGGGGCCGCATGCTCTAAGGGGGCCCGTGGCTGACACAGGTCAAGGTCACCCTGTAGTTCCCGCATGACACGACTGTGGTCACAGGCAGCTTGGCGCAGTGATGTGGACCCAGCGAGCCACCCTCTTCCCAGTAGGAGAGTGACCATCTGTGACCAAGCCCACGTGCTCCCCGCTCTGTCCCCAGACCGATGCAGACAACGACCTTGTGGGCGATCAGTGTGACAACAATGAGGACATAGATGACGACGGCCACCAGAACAACCAGGACAACTGTCCCTACATCTCCAACGCCAACCAGGCCGACCACGACAATGACGGCAAGGGTGATGCCTGTGACTCGGACGATGACAATGATGGCATCCCCGATGACAGGGACAACTGCAGGCTGGTGTTCAACCCAGACCAGGAGGACTCAGATGGTAGGCATTGCTGCTGCCTGTGTGTGCCCTGTCAGGCCGGCCCCAGCCCCTGCGGGAGCTACCAGCATGGCTGGGGCACACAGCTCGGGCCGGTGCTGGCTGTGAACGTGCCTGGCTGGGGAACGTCTCAGCACCATATCTGTGTGGAAGTCAGGCGTACAGAGGATGGAGCTCCGTGTCCCAGGAGGGACTCATAAGCACCAGCTGTGAGGACCCGGCCTGCTGTTCCGGCGACCACTGGGAGGGAATAGTCCTTAGCTGCGATGGTTCTAGACCCCAGAGCCCAGGGGGCTGTGCTGAGGTGGCTCAACAGGGCTGAGGGCTGAGGGCTCAGGCAGGGCCTCAGCAGCTGGACACTGGCTAGATGCAGAGCCAGCATGACTCAGATGCACGTGGAATGTGAAGCAGGATCTGTAGGCTCAGTCACACTCAGAGAGGCGTGGCTATTGCACAGGAAGCACCAAGTACTGTCCAGGCTGTTGCTGCTTCTCTAGGGCTGCGGAGAAGAAGGGCCACTGTGCCAGGGCACCCCGGGCTGGGGCTGCCATCCCTTGGAGACTGCTCTGAGCAACAGTCCTTGGCTGTGGCTCATAACTGCCACAAGAGGCTGTGGCTCAGAAGGCCCCATCGATCTCTCCTGTTCTGAACCAGAGGTCTGCAAGCCCGAGAGGTCCCTGCCAACCCTGGAGGAGGTGTGACTAGTGTGAGACACTGCCTGAAGGACATGGAGGGTATGAGAGGCAGGGATGGGTAGGAAATGTGCCCACAAAGAAGGCAGGGAGAGCACTGGAAGCACTGCACGCAGAGCCCTGAGCTCCCAGGCACAGGAGCAATCAGTGGAGTGCCTCCCCATGGGAGACCACAGCGTGCCAGCTGTGCGCTCACTCTCACGTGCCCAAGTGAGGGCAGGTGACTGGCAGCCGCCCGTGGCCCACTCTGCTCCCTCTTGTGCTTTGTGTACAGGTGATGGGCGGGGTGACATCTGTAAGGACGACTTTGACAACGACAACGTCCCGGATATTGATGATGTGTGTCCTGAGAATAATGCCATCAGTGAGACAGACTTCCGGAACTTCCAGATGGTGCCTTTGGACCCAAAGGGGACCACGCAGATTGACCCCAATTGGGTCATTCGTCACCAGGGCAAGGAGTTGGTTCAGACAGCAAACTCAGACCCTGGCATCGCCGTGGGTGAGTGTGAACTACCCTGAAGAGGCCACGCAGGGCCGCTCACAGGCAGGGTCCAGGTGGTCCTCATGCTGGCTGTGGCGTGGGGTGAGGACAGAGCCTGGCTCTGAAGGTGAGTCTGCAGCCCCACTGGTCACTGCTCTTGGGACTTGCTCACAGCTCTGTGGGGTAAGTGGGCCATTCCCTCTGTTTCTTCATCTCCTGGGCAGCAGCTGGGGTGGGATGCAGGATGAGAACCAAGCCAGATTTAGGGGATGGGGAGGAAGGCAGCTGGGGTCTGGTGGGAATGGCGGCTCAGGCAGTGACCTTGTCTTGGCCTCCAGGTTTTGACGAGTTTGGGTCTGTGGACTTCAGCGGCACGTTTTACGTCAACACTGACCGGGACGATGACTATGCTGGCTTCGTCTTTGGCTACCAGTCCAGCAGCCGCTTCTACGTGGTCATGTGGAAGCAGGTCACGCAGACCTACTGGGAGGACCAGCCCAGCCGGGCCTACGGCTACTCCGGGGTGTCTCTCAAGGTGGTGAACTCCACCACGGGTGTAGGCGAACACCTGCGCAACGCGCTGTGGCACACAGGCAACACCCAGGGCCAGGTGAGAGCTGGGGCGATCGCCACAGGAGCCGGTAGCCGTGTGCTGCTGGAGACCCTGAGAGGGGATCTAAGGGTCTCAGTGTCCTGCCCACGGCCCCTCAAGCGGAAGGCCCCGAGGGGAGGTCTTGTGCCCAGACACTGGCATGCCACCTGCCTCTGGGCCTGGGTGACACTGCCGGCTACAGCTTGTAGGGGTCACCCTCACTGCCCAGCAGGTCTGTGCTTCTGGGGAGCCCAGGCAGATCCTGGCACCCTCTGCATCACTGGCTCGTATCTTACAGGTGCGCACGCTATGGCATGACCCCAAGAACATTGGCTGGAAGGACTACACGGCCTACAGGTGGCACCTGACACACAGGCCCAAGACAGGATACATGAGGTGAGGCAGCTCTATGCTGGATGTCCTCAGCCAAGGCCCCTGCATTTCGAGGGTCCCCAGGACTTGGGGGCTCCCCTGCTGAGCTCTCTCGGACTGCCATCCTGCAGAATCTGCTCTTCTTCTTGCGTCTCTACCAAGCAGGGGTCCCTTTGTAAAAGAGGAAAGAAACTAGTCGAAAGGAGAAAGTAGCCTGGGGAGGGCAGGTGCTGAGGGGTCTGGGTCGTGCCCTTATCTGGATCCTGTCTCCTACTCTGTGCTCCCCAGGAGGCTTGGGTGGCATTCCCAGTTACCAGTTGCAGTCCCAGCCTAGCTCTGGCCATTATGGGCAATGGGGCAGTGAACTAGCAAATGGGTAGTGTCTCTCTCTCTCCCTGTCCTTTTCACCAAGTTGCAGTGGCTGGTGGTGGAGCCACCCCTGAGCGAGTATGTGCTGCTCTGGGTTATGCCGAGCTGGTGTGCAGAGCTGGCATGGCTTGCAGCAGGATATACAAACCCAGCCAGTACAGTAGAACATGGCTGTCTAGGCTCTGCCGTTTTCATGGTTGGCTTTGATGAGAACAAGACGTGGACAGCTCAAATGTAGGGTCTGGATTCTCCCAGGGTAAAGTTAGTGACAACCAGGAACCAGTTGGGCTCTTCACAAGTCACTGGGGGTGGTGCACACCTGAGCATTCCTGTCACTCAGGCTGTCCTTGCCCCTGCTCTGGCTGGTCCCCTGGCTCACACTGAGTTGGAAGCTCCTGACATCACTCGGGAGGGGGTAGGGTGGTGGCATCGCAGTAAGAATGCCCTGGGGCTGATGCTGGCACCCAGAAGTGGAAGGGCCACCGGGAAATTCTCTGCGTCTTGTCGCAGGGGGCTCCTGTAGCCAGGGTCGCTGCGCCCCTACATGGGTGCTGCATCGTTCTGCTGTGTGGCAATGACAGGAGACCCAGGAGGGACTGTGTGTGTCTGATGAGTTCCCACAGACTGAGCCGAGGGGTCAGATCCCAGGTTCCTCCGTGCTCCTCTCTGGGGCATGTCACAGAACTCACACTGTCCCTCTTCTTTCCCCACCCTCATTTTCAGAGTCTTAGTGCATGAAGGAAAGCAGGTCATGGCTGACTCAGGCCCTATCTACGACCAAACCTACTCCGGTGGGCGTCTTGGTCTATTTGTCTTCTCCCAAGAAATGGTCTATTTCTCGGACCTCAAGTATGAGTGCAGAGGTAAGTGAGACATCCTGTGGGCAGAGGGCTGGTGTCACGGGCCGGGAAGGAACACCCAGCCCACAGCACATGGATAGGCGAGGACAGGCCCCTGTGCAAGGAAGACGCATGGGAGCACCAGCGTGGCCGTTTTGGACAGTTCAGATCTAATTGTTTTTTTCACTTTGGATTGAGTTGTATTTGAATGCCTTTGGTTGGACAGAGATATCCCGATTGTTCACAGAGGCACTCATTCGAGTTGTCCGTTATGCTCTGGCCTGCAGAACTCTGCATTTTATAAACCTCTGAAGGTCACTGCTCTATGGCAGGTGGGAGGATGGGGGAGGGTGGAAGGATGGGGGATGGGACAAGATTCCCCTGGCTCTCCCTGAAGATGTTTTTGAAGGGTTGCATGTCTGGAATCCCATCATATAGATTGTCATGCCTTCAGTTCAGAGATGGTTCCAAAAATCATGCTTTGAATTTGCATGTAAAATAAAGAGATGACAACAAGAACATTCATTTCTCTGCTTACCTCATGAAGTGTTCTGTGGATATGCTTACTGTGCCATGTTCCACCCACATTATCCATCATATACTCACCTTATCCTGCCATACTTCTCATCCATCTCATTCTTCCAATGACTCACTCATTTGCCCTTCTGTTCATCCGTGCATCCATGCATGCATCCACCCATCCTTGCATCCATCCACCCACATATACATCCATCATTCTCATTATTCCATACTTGTCATCCATCCATCCAACCATCCATCCATCTTTCTGTCCAGCCATCCACCCAACCATCCACACATCCATCACAGCCACACATTCATCCACACACCGTCATCTATCCAAGCACCCATGTATGGTATAGACATTTTTTTAAAGTAAAATGGTAGTATTTTAAGCTGCAGGAGAGACAGTAACACAGAACTCAACTGTGGTTGAATTCTGATTTTTTTTTTTTTTTGCTAGATGTCTAAGCAGGTTTGCTGTGTTGGTGGCCTGAGCTGCCCATGCCCAGCACCTCTGCAGCTTCTCTCTCTTCCCCGGCACCTTCTGTTCCTTGCTCTCCGAGTTTTCTACCGCCCATCATCAGCCTCATACCCAAGTGCCTCCTGGGGATATGCACTGAAGGAGCCCGAAGAGGAGGACCCACCCTGCCACAGGGAAGCCGTTGCTCTGATCCAAGACTGTGGAGTGAAATGCGGGCATGACACCACGTTGTTTTTATTGTTTGAAAGGAATGACGTTTACATACGAAATGTAATTACTTATTTTATATATGTGTATATGGAGTTGAAGGAAATTGTGTGTGTGACAGTATTATAAATTAAGCATGAAAAATATTGCTCAGCTGCTGTTGGTGCTTCAGGGGTCAGTGTGCCCGGGTGAGAGCTGTGCCTGGTGACACACCATCCAGCGGGTCAGTGTGGCAGGAGGGAAAGGTTCAGGAGACTGTGGTCTCCCTGTCACGTGCAGGAAGGGACCGTTGATGAGTGGCAGCTGGAAAATGACCGCAGGGATGCTCAGGCACCTGCTGCCCCGCTCTCCCCTTCCCCAACAGAGACGTGGTTCATCCAGAAGGGCCATGCTTGGGGCTTGGGCCTGGCGAGGCCCCCATTGGAGCACTCACACTGGATGGTGCTGAGGGGCGCCAGGCCAGCTGCTGGCTCTGCCACCAAGTCGGCAAAGCCACCTGGCGCCTAACGCCTGGGTCAACCCCGACCCCATGATGAGTTGCTTTCACCCAGCCTCACTCAACATTTCTGGGAGGTTTCAGTTAGAAACATTTTCTTAATATTTATTAAGTGAACAGACACGACTCCATTTACTCATAACTTATTTTAACTAGGATGCATACATGGCTTGACTGCTTACAGGCGTATTCCACGTGTCCCCTGCCTTTGAAATATGACACAGACCCTAGGAAGTGGTCAAGATAAAGCTTTGTGTGAGACACAGATGGGTAAATGTCGTGAAGCATTTTTCAAGGGACCTTAATCTTTACTGTCGTTATGGATGCCAAGCTGGTGGTTGTTGCTGTGAGCTTTGCTGTGTACAGGATCTCCTAGAGTTCACCCCTGATTGGGCTATGGTAAACACACACAGGTCACTGGTTTTTGCTCAAAGCTGACTCATTTTCATGTGATGATGTCAGTTGATCTCACTCCCCATAAGGAATTTTCTAAGAGGAGTTTGCCTGGTGTGGTTGGGGCAAGCCTTTCTCCCGCTGTTCATCATGGTCACCATTCTAGGTCCAGCAGAAGGACACGCTCTTTTGCTGTATTTACACATTGCATTTTGATAGCTTCAGTTTTGTTGCTTACTTTGGGGTTTTTTTTTTTTTCTTTGTTTGCTGCACTTTTTACATTTTTCTCTTTTGAAGAAATGTATTCCCACCACAGCAAAGGGTTGGGACACTTCATTAAATATGAGGGTTGTAAACAGTGTGCAGGTTCCTTCCGGTGGTGTCGGCTCAAACAGGACAAGGGCGTGGATGATATGTGAATATTCAGAATGTACCATATTTCTTGTAAATTATTTATGTCTTTTTTTTAAACTTTCATATAGGTTGATGAAATTTTGTTTTGCCAAAGACTGTAAATACCTATTTATTTGTCCACATGGTCAGAATTGCACCATTGGAACCCTGCGTTTAGCTAGAGGCTCATTTTTATACGTTCAAGACTCATAACAGGAAATAAATTGTAAAAAGGTTTTCTATAAATGAATTGCTCTCCCTTTCTTAAAAGAGAAAGTTAGCAGGGCTTCCACTGCGGGGGGAGGGCAAGTCCAGACCAGGAGACAGGGCCTTGTACTCCCAGTGGCCTGGCCCTGTACCCTTGCCCACACCAGGCAACATGGCAGGTGTGCCCTGGTTACCATGCCCCCCGCCCCATCCAGAGCCTTACAGGAAGGACTCAGAGTCAGGGAGGGGGTCTGAGGGACCCCAGAAGTGGACCAGGGTGGGGGTCTGAGGGACCCTGGGAACAGAGTGAGGGAAGGATGGGTGCCCAGGTCCTCACGTGAGGGTGGCAGTTGGCACGTGCAGAGGGTGCAGAAGTCCCCGGAGCTTAGCTGGCTCCGCACCTGCCTGCCACTCCCTGGGATGTCTCGAGTGTTGTGGTGGAGGCAAACATGGGGAAAGTGAGAAAGGCAGAGAGAGAGAGAAATCCAAGGCAAACGACAGGATGTGGCTAGGAGAAGCTGGAGTGAGGCAGGCAACTAAGCAACAGGGAGGAAAACTGGCGTCTGGGCTCCACCATGCTTTTGACGGAGAGGCCGAGGAGGCATGCCCGTGTGGGTGAGGGGCAGCTGAACAGTTCACAAGTGGAATCTCCAGGGCTGGAAGTGACAGCCGCTGTGGGAAGCCAGAGTATCCTGTTAACTTCCAGCACAACCGCCTACACGGGGCCCATAAAACGGCTCCAAGTCTGCCTACGAACGGGGCATGCTCCCCCTGTGAGCTAGAGGCTTCTGGTGTTCACCCAGAGCAAGTTCTGATAAATGCTGCCCTCTTCCTTGGCCATGACAGATTGGCATGTCGTCTCCAAGGACTGACTGGGGTGCCCAGCCTGGAGTTCCCTATCGCTGTGGCCCTGCGGGACCGTGCCATCCCCAGCATCCACAACCACTGTGAGGTCACACAGCTCCAGCGGGTGCCAGGTGCACCGGGAGAGTAAGCGTAGATGAGCAAGGGTCATCCCATGTGGGTGCCTGAGTGCCAGGCTGCCACTCGGGAACCACAGCTGGTTCAGCTCCCTCAATCCTCATGTGCCGGCATGGAATCATGGTTGTTAGAAGTTTCCAGAATGGAATCAGAACCCCATTACTCTGAGCGTCTGCCAGGGGATATCTAGGTATCAAAGCCTCAAGTAGCTCCAGCAACTGCTCTGAGATGCACAGTAACGGCTGAGTGTGGGGGTCTGGAGGCAGGTGGATGGGGGTCTAGGCACATGGACCATGGGGGAGAGAGCCACTGCTCTCCTTGGAGGAGTCTGCAGAGGTGCCCATGGCTGGACCCTCCCTGCCTCTGATGTGGACCCCGGAGGTGCCTGGTGGAAAAGCTGCATGCAGCCCCTGGCCACTGAGGCAGGCAGACCGGGTCCAGCTGGGCCAACCACAGCAGGCTGAGAGCTTTGGCGATCGCCTTGGGTCTCCTACCTCTGGCCATCTGTGCAGTGTGGGGTGGTGGGATTTGCCGGGTGACCTCCCTTCCCCCGCTGCTCCTGAGCCCTAGCAGTTGCCCCAGCTGTGGGCACCTCAGAGGTGCCGGCCAGCCTGGGCCAACCATGCCCCACAGAGGCTGCCTTGAGCCTGTGTCTCTGTCCCCTCCCTGAGGTGGCATGTGAACGCTGGCTCCCAGCATAGACTTGCTGCCCACGAGCCCTGACTTGGGTGCTGGGTGGAGAGTGCCACGTGGCACACACATAAGTGCAGGGCCTCCTGGGGGACACTGTGACTGTCCTGGAGCCTGTGTGTCCATAGGAAGCATGTCCCCACCACCTCTTTGTTCTGTCACCCCCGCACCCCCTCTCCAATGCAGCAGCCCTCCCCAGGTAGGATTCTGCAGGGATTCTGCAGGACTCCACACCCAAATCAGGCTCCACACCCCAGATGTAGAAAAGAGAAGCAAGAAAACCAGTTTATTGAAGCACATGAATTAGTCAGCCAGGAGCAGGTCCAACTAAAGCAGTGGAAGATTTGTGTCATAAAAATGGCAAAACACTGCTGAAAGAAATTGTAGAGCCCCAAGCAAGCGCAGTGGCATCCACGTTTATGGAGGAGCAGTTTAGCATGGCTGAGATGCAAATTCACAAGGGTAAGGCAATGTTGGCAAAATCCCAATGGTCTTATATTTTCCAGAAATGGAAAAGGCAGTCCTTAAATTTAATTCCTTACATATTTGGGGTTGCAAAAGACTCTAATTCACCAAAAGAAAGAGGGAAAAAGGGAAAGAAAGGAAAAGGAAAGGAAGGAAATGGCAATTCTACAGCTCGGGGCTTGCTGGTCCAGGGCTCACTCAGCCACCGTGCAGCCGATTCAGCAGACTGCAGAGATGAATGGAGAGACACACAGAACCACGGACAAGAGTCCGTGAGTCAGCAAACCTGTGCGGCCCAGGAATGTCACAGGGGCCCAAGAGCACTTAGCGAGGCAGAAGACACACTTGAGTGAACAGGGTGGGACAACCAGCATTGCCACATGGAAGACGGCACTGAGGCTGCCTCACAGCACCTGTGAGATCCACAGAAAGCCTGGTGCAGGGACTGTAACCGTGGAACTCCTAGACAGAGGGGTTCAAGGGGTCACTTTAGTCATCTTAGACAATGGACCAAGGTATAGGCAACAACAGCAGAATTCAAAGGTCAGCCTGTGTCCACAGGATGAGCTTTTGGGCGTCAAAGTGTGTTATGGATAACTCCAAGTCTTGAAATGGGAAACGCGTTTGTGGTCGTATACCTGGTAAAGGTTTATCGGACTTCTGCCAGGGATGGCTGCCCACATTGCCAGCACCATGTATGGGCACAGTGCAAGTTCTGGCTGCCCTACTTCCTGTCCAACTCCATGCTAATGAGCCTGCAGAGCATGCTCCAAGTGCTTGGGTCCCTGCATACACCTGGGGGACTGGGATGCAACTCCTGGCTGCCTAGCATTGCAGCCACAGTGGAGTGAGCCAACAGATGGAGTCTGCCTCTCTTTCCTTTCCTTTCTCTCTATTTTTTGAATAAATAAAATACATTTTTGAAGAACTCTTGTAAGGCAACAACAAAAAGCCCATGGATTTAATTTAACAATGGTCAGAATGCTTAAGAGGACATATCTGCAAAGGGAAGGTATACACCTTGAGTCTGGCACCTCAGACCAGCTGGTCAACCTGACATCCCACGAAGGGGAGGTGAGCTGCAGGTGCAGGCAGCCTGGGTGGCATGGGGTGGCAGGGCAGGCAGTGAGTCATGGTGAGTGTACTGCATGGACAGTCTGGGCAGCACGGGCGGCAGGGCAGGTGGGTCAGTGAGCAGTGAGAACATGGGACTGCTGGTCCTGGCTCACTGCCAGGGAGATGGGACAGTCCCTCAAGACACACCAGAGTAGTGTCCCTTGGGTGGACAGCCATAGGAGTTGGCACGTTGGCACCAGCAGGGACTTAGGCCAAATGTCCACTCCATTTGTGACAGCTGGGACAAGTGAGCAGCCCTGATGCCTGAAGCAGAGGGTGATGGAACAAGCCTTGGCATCACCAGGAGCCCACAGTGATGGGCTGTAATGCACTATGCATGTGCACACGCATGGGGGTGTGTATGTGCAGGCATGTGTGTGCATGGTGAGTGTGTGCACATTTGGAAATGTGCGTTTTGGAGGAAGGCAGGCTGTGGGCAGAAACTGGCACACACTTTGCCCCCAGTACATAGTGGGGAAACGAGGGCCTGGTTATGTGGGGCCACAGGGTCTGCACAGGGCAGGAGCAGCAGCAACTCCCTGGGCACTGTGCCATTCCCTTCACCTCTGGAGCAGAGGGGGCCATGAGGACGCAAGAGCACACTGGGCATAGAGCAGGCTTCACAGAACTCGTGTCTGAAGGTCACCTGGGAGTCCTGGAGGTGGCTCGTACTCCCACACTGGATGGGAGCCAGGGCCGACAGTATGTCCAATCAGGCTCTCCACGTGACTGGCCTGGCGTGGTGGGGCAGGACTGTACTGTGGGGCAGCTGCCCTCAGTGAGGGTGAGGCCCTGTGACTTTGCAGCAGGATATTCCTTGGCCTGGGCTGCAGTGTGTCTTGCTCCCTGGATGGTGTGCTCACCGGAGCTCACTGACACTCAGGGCTCAGCTCACTCAAGGGCTCGGCCAGGACCCACTGGTGCGGGGGTTTGCACGCTGTTTCAGGACAGCCCACAGGAGTGCGTGCTGTGGGAGGGTGGGGCCTCCACTCCTGACTTCAGTGTCTGGCTGAGATGCACGAGAGGCAAGTGCTGCTAGGCGTTCAGATTCCTACCACCATGTGGGAGGCCCAGGTAGATCCCTGGTCCTGGCTATGACCTGGTGGATCCCCGGTCCTGGTTGTGACCTGGTGGATCCCTGGTCCTGGCTGTGACCTGGTGGATCCCTGGTCCTGGTTGTGACCTGGTGGAGCCCTGGTCCTGGCTGTGACTGGTGGATCCCTGGTCCTGGCTGTGACTGGTGGATCCCTGGTCCTGGTTGTGACCTGGTGGAGCCCTGGTCCTGGCTGTGACTGGTGGATCCCTGGTCCTGGTTGTGACCTGGTGGATCCCTGGTCCTGGCTGTGACCTGGTGGATCCCTGGTCCTGGTTGTGACCTGGTGGAGCCCTGGTCCTGGCTGTGACTGGTGGATCCCTGGTCCTGGTTGTGACTGGTGGATCCTTAGCTCCCCAACTCTGACCTGAGTGGATCTCTAGTCTTGTCTGTGACCCAAATAGATCCCTGCCTCCCCCCACCCCCGAGCTGTGACCTGGGTGAATCTCTGGCCATGACTGTGACCCAATGGGATCCCTAGCTCTGGCTGTGACCTGGTGGATCTCCAGCCCTGGATATGACCTAGGTGGTTCCCTGGCTCTGGCTGTGACCTAGTGGGTTCTTGGCTTTGGCTGTGACCTGGTGGGTCCCTAGCACTGTCTGTAGCCTGGTGGATCCCTAGCCCCCCATTGTGACCTGGTTGGATCCCTAGCCCTGGCTGTGACCTTGTGGATCCCTGGTCCTGGCTGTGACTTGGCCTGATCTGGCTGTTTCAGGCATTTGGGAAATGAACCAATGGATGAGACATATTTATCCATTTGTGTGTTCCTGTTTCTGCCCTACAAATAATTAAAAGTAAGTTCAACATGAATCCTGGCAGAGACTCCATGTAGGGGCCACTTGTTGCCCTGGCTCAGGGCTGTGTGACTTCAGCTGTGGGAGCCACATGGCCCTGGGAGCTTTCATGTTGCAGGGACCTGATGTGTAGGTGGCATGCTAGACTCAGAGCCCAGCAAGCTGGCAGGGAGCTTTTAATGTGTTGTGTATTGGCATGGGCAATCACCACCATTCCTGCAGGAGTGTGGGGTGTGGGTCGCTGCCCCTCATCCAGCCTAGCTGTGCATTCCTGGAGAAGTCTCTTGCCTCATCTGAGCTTTAGTTCTTGCCTCTTTCATGGAAATAACTGAGACTTCACAATGTTCCCACCGAAACAGATGGAAACCAGCATCAATAAATGCAAATTAGCCTCTAAGTTCAGGCTCGGAGTAGAAGAAAGACAAAGTAACTTGGCATCTCGAAGGGGCAGAGCAGAAAAGACCTGGCCTAGTGAAGACCCAAGCCACAGCCCGATTGTCAGTGCAGCTTGGAAGAGAGGGGCCAGAAAAGGCAGGAGTGAATGACATGACAGTGACAGGGCTGAGCTTGCAGTAGAAGGGGATGGGGACACGGCAGTGAGGGGAAGGGAGGGGGACACGGCAGTGAGGGGAAGGGAGGGGGACATGCCAGTGGAAGAACAGGGAGGGGGACATGGCAGAGGGAAGGGGGACATGGTACTAAGAGGGAGAGGAGGGGACATGGCAGTGGGAGGAGAGGGACATGGCAGTGAGAGAGGAGGGGACATGGCAGAGAGAGAGGAGGGGATATGGCAGTGAGAGAGGAGGGGACATGGCAGTGAGAGAGGAGGGGACATGGCAGTGAGAGAGGAGGGG